CTGCTGTCTGGTTCTACTGTTAATGTAACATCGTGGCAGACTCAGGACAGGTAAGGCTTTGGAGGTGCTGAGTGGTCAGATTTGGGGTATTGATTCTTGGACAGGAGGGGGAAGGGGTTTGGTACCTGTATCCTGTTCACTCCTCACAGTGTGGTAGGGAAAGGAATCAGGCTATTATGTAAAATTAGAAACCTTCTCTGCAAAACAGCAGCTGCTAGGAGCTGTGGCCAATTTTTTCGTATATTAAGGGCATCACTGCATCAGGGAGGATTCAGATTCATGGGGGAGGGAATCTAAAGGAGCCCAAATCTGACAGTAGCAGGGAAGCTCTGGAAGATGCTTTGGAATGAAGAGTAAGATCTGGGGACCTGAAGAGAGGCTGACTCAATCTCCCCTGGGCTTTCTGCAGAGTTTACCAGTTAACCTCTTGAAAGCTTGCTTGAAATTACAACCCATTTTTCAATGAGTTCTGGGTTTGATGATCAGTAATTCCATCCTGGGGCCAAATCCTGCCCTCCAAAACATACACAGAATTCTCATGGAGGTGAGGACTGGCGTCTCCTGACAGCTGACTCATCAAGACAATCATATGGAGATGAACTATTCTGAGGTTCCAATTCCTTATCCTCCTTTCCCCCCTCCCCCCTGGACAATCCTTCATGCTGCTTGCCCCCTCCCCTTCCTAGTGCCTAGCACACCTGTGATTTATACTTGGGACAGGAGGGGCCCATGAGCATCTCCTTCTAAACAACATGCTGCTGTGGATTCCATTTTGCAGAAGGAAGAGAGATGAGATATTGAGTCCAGCTCAGCAGTAACAACTCTTGCTGCCACAGCCTAGTTATGAATGAGTCCCAAGCCTATTCACTAGTGCTGGGTTTATTATACACAGGAGTACAGTACTTGAATATTATACAGCATTTTTCTCTTTGTCTCCATACCTCCATGCATGCATGAATGTGTGCACAGCTTGGGTGAGCATGCTACAACTAGAGATGGGTCTGAACCAGAACCTTGGATCTGAAAACACCTTGAATTTGATGGAACTTTATATCTGCATTTAAATTTCCTCTGTCTCCAGTCTGTATAATCGGCAAAACTGAATCCCTAGATAGGAGCACTCCCCAAATTTTGTGTATGTCCAAAATCCAGATTGGCCTGAATGTAAAATTCAGATCCAATCTATTACTATGACTTATGAAGATTAAATCACACATGCGTGCGCGCGCGCACACACACACACACAGAGCTCTATATAACTTGATAGAGTTTTCTGGGCTTTTGGATGCAATAGAAAGGAACTCATACTATGGTGCTAGCTGCTGCATTTTCTTTCAATTCAATAGAGACATATACACATGCGCGCACACACACACACACACACACACACACACAGAGCCTGGATAGACAGATAGATAGCTACACACATATATATATATAATGTGTGTGTGTGTGTGTAGCTATCTATCTGTCTATCCAGGCTCTGTGTGTGTGTGTGCAGCTAGCACCATAGTATGAGTTCCTTTCTATTGCATTTGAAAGCCCAGAAAACACTATCAAGTTTCTGTCTCTGAAATGTCCTCCCTCACTTGATGAAAGAAAAAAAACAAAACAGAAAGAACAACAATCTGCTTGAGTCTGTCACCCAGCCATCAGCTTGTCAGCTCCTGATCCATTAACAGGACAAACCAGCAGCCTTAAGATAGCAACAGAAACTCTGGGAACTGCCCAGAAATAACTCTCCATAATGAAACAGCTTGATTCCAGTTGTATCACCCTGTAAGACAATATCTAAACTCTTTTTCCTACTGGCTGCTCACAGCACAGCAATTGATGGAAGATGTGTGTATCTTTAGTAGGAAATACTTAACATCATTTCACTCTGAGTACGTGGCAGCTGTGGAAAAACTAACATTCTTTTTATGGCCATAGCTCTACATATTACCACACCTCATGAATGATCTTTCAGCAAAATCTACCTTCTCCCCCACAGCTACTTGCAGCTCTAGCCTGTTATTGATTATTTTTCATTATTGACATTAGAGACAGCAAATCAGGAAACTGAGTTTCTGGGAAATGTTGTTTCTTCTAATCCAAACAAATGAATTCCTTGTAATTTCAAACTTCCTCTTCGTTTGTCCTTCCGCTGTTCCTCATTTGGGTCCCACAAGTTTGAAGTTACTATCATGCACACTTCTCAATGTTATTGTGGGAGAGAAGTGTGTTTAATGTCAGCCAGGACTTACTGGTATCTTGCTTACTGACATCCCTCATGATGTTTCTGGACTCTTTTTGCCTATGATGACTAACGTATATTCGTATAACAGTTCTGAAGTTACTAAAACAAACTTTACACTAGCTATCATAAAATCTAGTGTTACTTTTCTCCCAGCACCTGCAGTGCAATTAATTATACTTGATGCGCAATGCTAGCAACATTTCTATGCTTCAGTGATCTCCTGGGAAATTCATGGAAGATGATTTAAGGGGTAGAATGTGTAGGCTAGTTTCAAACATATTAGCTCACGCAGTATCAAGGCTCTAACTTGTTCTCTGCTAACTGCGCTAATATAGACTTCAGGTGCTAGATATCATGGGTGTGAATATCAAGAGGGTGAGGAACAGTTCAGGTTGGTATAATTTTTAACTATGCATAATAGGATGAAATTAAGGAAAGAGAAATGTTAGGATAAACACCAGGGAAAAAGTTCCTACCCATGAAATCTATTACAAACCATGGAACAGTCCTCCTCACCCAGCCCACAGGAGGTAGTAGAAGTTCCCTTGTTTAAATTAGGCGGCAAAAAAATTACTGTAGGGACCAATCCAGCTTTGGCCAGCTTGGGGTTAGACTAGAAATTCTTGTAAGTCTTTCCCATCTCTAGTATCAATGGTCAAACTTCATCATTTAATTATGGTAGTGTATATATAGACATTTTCCAAACACTCAAGAAGGATGGTGGTCCCTGCCCAGAGGAGCTCATAGTCTAGCTTTAACAAAAAATGTAGTGGGCCTTGAGACAGATCACAAGGTATCTGAGTAATACCTTGCGCCATAAGTAGCCCCACCGACTCCAATGTGACTTCAAGATCCTATTCAATAGGGCAGATTCTCTGGTCTGCTAAGACTACTATGTTCCATTAAAGCACTGCAGAGCTAAGTGGCCTTAAATTGTCTGGAGATGACAGATGGACCATTTCCTGGGGAACTCCACCCACACCCAAATGGAAAGCTGGTGGCGGTAGAAGGACAGGTTCATAAACAGAATAGGGAGGGGAGAGTATAGGCCTATGTTGTGCCGGAGCTGGACACCTGAAGCTGTAAGCAGCTTCTGCTCTCCGTTCTGTGTGACTGTGAGGCTCGGACAGTGTGGTGAATCAAGGCCAATGTGAATGATGGCATCACAATCTGGCCCTAGAGGAAGTGAGTTTCTTGCAAAATAAAATGTAGTTAATTATTTTTAATCTTGGTTCATTATCTCACCCAGTTCTCTTCATAGGCTTCACAGAGACAAGGTACTTTGGTGTAACTTCCATCTGAGAAATACCTTCATCCAGCTCATTAGCCAACCTGTTTACAAGGTATTCACCACCACAAAGAGAATTGGTAGGAACAGATGGGATGCTGAGCGGGCTTTGCAACTTCACCTTGAACAAATATTGACTCATATATTGCACTGAAGGATTATCTCTTTGATGTCTGGGCCAGCACATGGTGGGCAAAGAAGAGGGATGAACTGGGTTTTCAGAGCACCAGAGAAAAATTCCCAGCATCTCTGACAAGTTATTTGAAGTCATTTCAATGGCCATTGCTCATTGCACTTTGGATTTTCATTCTCCAGATGCTCCCTTTCCAAAATAATAGATGTTATCAGACTTGCACAAAAGGCTTTTTATCCTTTAGATCTGAATGTAAAGTCAGGTACATGCAGGTATCAACTGGATGACTTCAAGAGCTGGAGGAGGGCCAGCCTCGATGTGTTAGGCGAAGGGTTTTTCCCACTTTTGGAAAATAATTAAGCAATTTCACACATATATTTAGCAACCTATTATCAAAGGTTCTGGAAGAGCTTTACAGACACTAGTTTAACCCTGAACCATCTCAGAGGTAGGCAAGGATTAGCATGCCATTTCTGCAGATGAATAAAATGAGACACTCAGAGAAGAATGCCTAGCCCAGGGTCACACAGTGAGTCAGTTGCAGAGTTGGAAGAACCCAGTGTTCTGACTTGCATGAGTCCTTGTGCTACCTCCTAGCCCATAGTATTCCTTCCTCCTCCTCCTCCAGCCAGGATGTACCTTGGGTGTTACAATATGGTTCCTGTGGAATTACACATTTCACACCTGAAGAACCTCTGACTATGAATGCAATGAATGCCAAATGAGGTGGATTGATTTGACTTTCACTGCAAAGATTTTCCCATTAGTGAATCTACTGGTCTACACTTTTCTATTGCACTCATCACCCTGGGATCTGAGCACTGGGCCGCAGTGTTCACCTTATTAGATGTAGCTCCTTAGTGGCAGGGCTTTCTAAGGCTCAGAGCCAGTGCAAGATGGATTAATGCCGGAGGAAGCTCCTATCTTATTTGAGGGCTTGTTAGAGGAAGTAATATGTTAGAGGGCTGTGCTACATTGATTCTCTCTTGAAGCTGATGTGGACTTAATTTGTGTAGCCCATGCAATTCTGATTTTGAAGGGGTTTGAGAGGCACATTTTTCCCTCAGTCCTTCTCATGAAGCATTCTTTGTGTTCTCCATTGGAAGTTAGATGAGAGCTAAGTTCTTCAAATCTGTCTAAGACAGAGGTTTTATTATATCAGGCAACCACAGAGGACACTTGCACATTTTCCCTTCAGTGATCTTCTGGCTAAATAACATATAGCAGATTTACATACATTTTACACATGCCTCAGGAGCCTTTCCTACTTCTGAATTTGTTAAAACCTTGTAGGACCCATTTAAAAACAAATAAATCCAACAAATATAACACAGACTTACGTTAGCAACTGGAGACGGCACATATGAAAATATGGAGATGGCGAGGTTTGATGGGGAAAGTCCATGTTCAGATGGCATAGAGAAGGAGGGAAAGTCTATGTTGAGGTGCTTAGTGGTCAGGAAGATATTGACAAATGCATGTTTGTGTTGCCAGGAAGTGGAAGGGAGAGACCATGATCAGATCCCTACAGTGGCCTGCTACAAACAAAGAAAACACATACAGTTTCCAAGCTTCAAACAGCTTTTGAGGTAATTGTTTTTCCTCTCCAGTTACCACACTAAACACAGGGCTTATAATACCCAGGAAGTCACTATGAGATCCTATGAACTTGTATCAGAGTAGCAGCTGTATTAGTCTGTATCCGCAAAAAGAACAGGAGTACTTGTGGCACCTTAGAGACTAACAAATTTATTTGAGCATAAGCTTTTGTGGGCTACAGCCTACTTCATCGGTGGAAGTGGAAAATACAGTAGGAAGATATAGATAGATAGATAGATAGATAGATACACACAGAGAACATGAAACAATGGGTGTTACTATACACACTATAAGGAGAGTGATCAGTTAAGGTGAGCTTTTATCAGCAGGAGAGAAAAAAAACTGTTTGTAGTGGTAATGAAAATGGCCCATTTCCAGCAATTCCCAAGGAGATATGAGGAACTGAGGGAGGGAGGGGGAATAAACATGGGGAAATAGTTTTACTTTGTGTAATGGCCCATCCACTCCCAGTCTTTGTTCAAGCCTAATTTAATGGTGTCCAATTTGCAAATTAATTCCAATTCAGCAGTCTCTCGTGGGAGTCTGTTTTTGAAGTTTTTTTGTTGTAATATTGTGACTTTTAGGTCTGTAATTGAGTGGCCAGGGAGATTGAAGTGTTCTCCAGCTGGTTTTTTAATGTTATAATTCTTGACGTCTGATTTGTGTCCATTTATTCTTTTACGTAGAGACTGTCCGGTTTGGCCAATGTACATGGCAGAGGGGCATTACTGGCACATGATGAGCATATATCACATTGGTAGATGTGCAGGTGAACGAGCCTCTGATAGTGTGGCTGATGTGATTAAGTCCTATGATGGTAACCCCTGAATAGATATGTGGACAGAGTTGGCAACGGGCTTTGTTGCAAGGATAGGTTCCTGGGTTAGTGTTTTTGTTGTGTGGTGTGTGGTTGCTGGTGAGTATTTGCTTCAGGTTTGGGGGCTGTCGATAAGCAAGGACTGGCCTGTCTCCCAAAATCTGTGAGAGTGATGGATCGTCCTTCAGGATAGGTTGTAGATCCTTGATGATGCGCTGGAGAGGTTTTAGTTGAGGGCTAAAGGTGACGGCTAGTGGCATTCTGTTACTTTCTTTGTTGGGCCTGTCCTGTAGTAGGTGACTTCTGGGTACTCGTCTGGCTCTGTCAATCTGTTTTTTCACTTCAGCAGGTGGGTATTGTAGGTGTAAGAATGCTTGATAGAGATCTTGTAGGTGTTTGTCTCTGTCTGAGGGGGTGGAGCAAATGCGATTGTATCGTAGAGCTTGGCTGTAGACAATGGATTGAGTGGTATGGTCTGGATGAAAGCTGGAGGCATGTAGGTAAGTATAGCAGTCAGTAGGTTTCTGGTATAGGGTGGTGTTTATGTGGCCATCATTTATTAGTACTGTAGTGTCCAGGAAGTAGATCTCTTGTGTGGACTGGTCCAGGCTGAGGTTGATGGTGGGGGGGAAATTGTTGAAATCATGATGAATTCCTCAAGGGCTTCTTTTCCATGGGTCCAGATGATGAAGATGTCATCAATGTAGTGCAAGTAGAGTAGGGGCATTAGGGGACGAGAGCTGAGGAAGCATTGTTCAGCCATAAAAATGTTGGCATAATGTGGGGCCATGCGGGTACCCTTAGCAGTGCCACTGATTTGAAGGTACACATTGTCCCCAAATGTGAAATAGTTGTGGATGAGGACAAAGTTACAAAGTTCAGCCACCAGGTTAGCCGTGATATTATCGGGGATACTGTTCCTGATGGCTTGTAGTCCATCTTTGTGTGGAATGTTGGTGTAGAGGGCTTCTACATCCATAGTGGCTAGGATGGTGTTTTCAGGAAGATCACTAATGGATTGTAGTTTCTTCAGGAAGTCAGTGTGTCTCGAAGGTAGCTAGGAGTGCTGGAGCGTAGGACCTGAGGAGGGAGTCTACATAGCCAGACAATCCTGCTGTCAGGGTGCCAATGCCTGAGATGATGGGGCATTCAGGATTTCCAGGTTTATGGATCTTGGGTAGCAGATAGAATACCCCTGCTCCAGGTTCTAGGGGTGTGTCTGTGTGGATTTGCTCTTGTGCTTTTTCAGGCAGTTTCTTGAGTAGATGGTGTAGTTTCTTTAGGTAACCCTCAGTGGGATCAGAGGGTAATGGCTTGTAGAATGTGGTGTTGGAGAGCTACCTAACAGCCTCTTGTTCATATTTCGACCTATTCATGATGACAACAGCACCTCCTTTGTCAGCCTTTTAGATTATGATGTCAGAGTTGTTTCTGAGGCTCTGGATGGCACTGTGTTCTGCACAGCTGAGGTTATGGGGCAGGTGATGCTGTTTTTCCACAATTTCAGCCAGTGCACGTCAGTGGAAGCACTCTATGTAGAAGTCCAGTCTGTTGTTTCGACCTTCAAGAGGAGTCCACCCAGAATCCTTCTTTTTGTAGTGTTGGTAGGAAGGTTTCTGTGGGTTAGTATGTTGTTCAGAGGTGTTTTGGATATATTCCTGGAGTCGGAGACCTCGAAAATAGGATTCTAGGTCACCACAGAATTGTATCTTGTTCATGGGGGTGGAGGGGCAGAAGGAGAGGCCTCGAGATAGGACAGATTTCTTCCCGCCCCCCCACCCTCTACAGTTCCTCATATCTCCTTGTCAATTGCTGGAAATGGGCCATTTTCATTACCACTACAGTTTTTTTCTCTCCTGCTGATAAAAGCTCACCTTAACTGATCACTCTCCTTATAGTGTGTATAGTAACACCCATTGTTTCATGTTCATATATATCTTCCTACTGTATTTTCCACTACATGCATCCGATGAAGTAGGCTGTAGCCCACGAAAGCTTATGCTCAAATATATTTGTTAGTCTCTAAGGTGCCACAAGTACTCCTGTTCTTTTTATGAACTTGTAGTGTTTACCATCCACTAAGTGGCCACATTCTTCCTTCACTAGGGAGGAAAGCCTGGGAGATCTTTGTGAAATATTCCCAGAACAATTCATGTGGCATTTGATTGAATTAACCAGCTCTTCAAAGTCCCCACCCTTCCCCAGAGATACACTCAAAATGCATTTCCTCCAGCAGTGAGGAAGAAAAAGAGTTTTTAAGAAAGTCAACCTAAAATTAAAGTGCACTTAAATGATTAGTTCTAAGTTTTAGATGTAAGTATGTCTGCAGCCACAGTGAATAATATAACAAAAGTAGCTTAGATTTATATAACAGCTTTATGCCCAAGGAACACAAAGCACTTTGCAAATGTTGATATGGACTGTCCAAGAGTTACTCTGTCCAAAGATGAAATGCAGCAGCTTCTGGGGAGCACGACTGATTAATGGTGCATATCAAAACTATACAATGATATAGGGCAGGAGGTAGAAAAGATTGCCGTATGCAGCTGAAACTACAGAAGGGGGATGTAGGTGGAATTTAATTGGGATACCAAGGATAATACCACAAATCCCCCTGAGGGCCTGATCCAAAGCCTCCAATGGGCTTTGGATCAGACCGTAAATCTTCAACAAGTGTTCACGTCTCAGGGCAGGAATATGCCTTTTGGGCACTGCCTTGTAATGGGGCATGATGTTGAGCCACCCCACCCCACAGGAAGCTTCGGGAGCTGTTGAGTGTAAACTGCATGTTCAACAACACACATACATAGTTCCCATTAGTGTCAGTGGGAGATAAGGTTTTAATGGAGGGTATACCAGACTCAAGTATAGAGCAAATCTCCACACAGCCACTTCCTTATCGCCACACTGTCCCTAAGCTTTAAACATTCTGAGTGTTGTAAGAGATGTGCCATTGGTACAGGGTTCATTAGATATGAAAAGCCCAGCTAAAGTGCCCTTGAATGAAAGAGAGAGTGAGAATCGCTGTGTACACATGGAGTTTTGCATTTAAGGAGCAGCACGTGCGTTCCATTTGTGCCTTGTGGCTAAGCCTGCATAAATATCTATCACTACAATAAAGCTGATGTGGGGAACAGGACTGGAATGAAATTATACAATCCAATAATGGCACTTGGTTGATGCTCTCTAATCTGATTTCACTTGAGCCCTCCCCAATACCAAGTTTTTCCAACAGCTAATGTCTTGCCTTTTCATCAAAGCCTCCAAACCAATTAAAATTACCATTCAAATAGCTTTCCGCAGAACCGGAGCTGCTGCCTTTACTGTCAGGAGACCTAGATGGATGCAAACATAGTACTGAAAAGCCAGTTTACTTTCATTCAGGGCAGTGTCCCTGCAGACATGTGGGCTGCATCTTTGTGCGTTGTCTCTGTCAGCTAGTACATCAGAGACACAGCTTGTGGCAAACATGCAAGATAGGAGGAGCAGTAGATTCTCTGGGCTTTGTGCATGGAGATGCTGGGTAGAAAGAAAGTTGATGGGAGAACTGAAGTAGCTGCCACAGGTTCATCTGTAGCGATGCATTGATGAAACATCTGGGAAATAGCTACCATAGTTCTCCAGCACTCCATATGGAAATAATAATCATACTACATGCCAATGTTTCCAAAATGCAGGAGACAAATTATTCATCATGCAAACTGGCCAGGCAAAGCAGAGAGCATTGGGAAACAGTTGTGCATGTGAAAGACCGGAGAGGTTTAATTTACAGAGACAACATTTAATTTAAGTTAAAGTTTACATTTGAATCAGGGAGACAATGAAATCAAACCAACAAAAATTACATTCAAAGTAAGCCTTGGGCTGTTTGTCAAGAGCAGCCATTGCTGTCCACCCTTTTCCCTCCATTGTCTCCACTTTGGTTTTCATAAATGCTGCCCTTCTAATCAGGGCTGCCTTCCAACAGAGCTGGACAGGCCATTGTCAATGTAAAGATACCACATGTTCTTCTTTGCAGGCTTCTGTAAGCCAAATTATTTTCGATTACTCATAAATGATAGACGGATTAATTGATGCCTTGCAGAAAGCCACTAGGCTGAGCCAGGAGCTCGGGGACTGGGG